TGATCCAGGGTATGTCTACACTACCACCCTAGTTCGAACTAGGATGGTTAATGTAGGCAACTGAAGTTGCAAATGAAGCCCAGGATTTAAATATCCCGGGCTTCATTTGCATCTTGCTGGGCGCCACCATTTTTAAAGCCCCGGTAGTTCGGACTCCGTGCCCACGGCTACACGCGGCACGGAGTAGATAGTTCGGATTAGGCTCTCTAATCCGAACTACCGGTACACCTTGTAGTTTGAACTAGGGTGGTAGTGTAGACATACCCCCAGCGTGGAGTCTTGGCTGCCCCTGGGCATGGAGTGTAGCACCCTTCCCCCACCCCACTCCCCACTCCCCCTGGGACTTACCTCCATCATGACGATGCCGACGGTGGATCTGCCCACCCCGAATTGGTGTGCCACTGATCGGTAGCTGTCCGTGGTGGCCAGCTTCCAGACTGCGATGGAGACCCTCTTCTTGATGGGGTTGGGTGCCCGCAGCCGGGTGGTGTCTCTCTGGAGTGCAGGGGTGAGCCAGGCACAGAGCTCCATGAATGTCCGCTTTTGCATGTGGAAGTTCCGGAGCCATTGCTGGTCGTCCCATTGCCCTAGGACCATCCGGTCCCACCAGTCGGTGCTGGTGTCCAGTCTCCACAGTGGCCTCTCCACCCTGGGGTGGGGGTGCCATAGGGACGCCCTGGCCTCACTGGTGAGGAAGTCCAAAGTGATCTGTCCCTCCTGGTCCTGGAAGAGGAGGGCACCAACCTGGAGCAGCAGCTGCAGGCACTCGAAAATGTCCGACAGGGGCCAGAGCAGGCACGTGGCCACCCCTGGTTCCATGGCACAAGAAACAAGGCAAGGAAAAAAACCCTGGCAAAAGCAGTAGGTGGCCAAAGGCAACGGTGTCCAAAAGTCAGAGGGCAACCACCAAACCTGCTATGGCTGTCAGTCCCTGCAAGAGGCCCTATAGCACGGAGCGGAGACAAACGGCCATCCGGCGAGACCCCTTTAAGCACGTGTCTGAAAGGAGCTCCAGCCCCCGGCCCCGGAAATGGTTCCGGGCTTCTGCTTTTGCAGAAAAGCGCACCGCCAATGTAGACACGCTTTTCCGCAAAAGCGCATCATTATAATGTGAACTCTGCGCCAATCTAGACGCTCTTTTCCGAAAATGCTTTTAACGGAAAACTTTTCCATTAAAAGCATTTCCGGAAAATCATGCCAGTCTAGACACAGCCTCAGTGTCCAAATGCTCAACAAAAGGAAGAAGCAAATGATTCCAGACTAGATGGTGGTGTTTTTTCTCTTAATTCCACCAGCTCATGGGAATATGAATTTGCACATTAAAGGACTTTTGTTTATGTAATCCTGGAGAAAGTCTGAACTGAAGAGATGTATTTTACACTTTGTTATAAACATAGTCAGGCTTGGCCTAAGTGTGTTACCTTCTGGCAGGAAGGCTAATACATATTCTTTGCATTCATGGGAGACAGAAGGCACCTGCACTGAATTATCTGCAGAATGGCAATCTTCGTTAATGTCAAGATAATCATTGCATAGCACTGAGTAACACCGTTAATCCAACACTAACATCCATACCCACATCAGTTCATATCTTTTAAACAAAGCCAAATCTCCAGTCCTGTGGAATTTAAAACCAGGAGAGAAATTCTAACCATCTAGTGGTTAGCAGCTCTATGGAGTCAGAATTACAGAAATAAACAGACTTGAGTAGCTGATTGGCACTGAAGTGTATGCTCAGAATCATTTAACCGTGCACACACTTCAGTCTATTTTGAGGAGAATTACCCAATCATTGGATTCTTCTGCATTTTCAGACCAGCAGAGTCATACTACATTCATCTTTCTCAGTCTTGGAAACAGCTTTTGCCACTGATTTTGCTTTAATTATCTCTTGAGTGCCTTTCGTAACAGTCCCTTCAAGTTCATTCTTATATTAGTAAGTACAGTCATTCCTTTACTAGTCTTTCATGTAAGTTTCTAGATTTCTACATTCAGTTGGACAAAAATTAGGAATAGGTTCAATAGGAGTAGGTGACTCTGTTTGGATAAATTAACAACCTACCAAAACATGATCTGAAACCAAATGAAATATTGTCTGCCATTCAAGAAATATGTTCCATCCCATTTTTGAATAGGAGCAACATTTCCATTTTTCACACACCTCTGCACTTCCTGATGGTTGACAGGATTGCCAGTGGAAGTAGTAAAATGTGAGAAACCTCATTGTTTTGATATTTTCTGTCTGTTAGAAAATAGAAAATGCCGGAAATTCTAAAGGAAATTCTTTTCCCACTAGATTTCTTGACATATTAGCCCAGAGAGAACTAAGTTCAACTAAGCATCAGAAAATTTTGTCTGATTAGGACATTGCATTCAGGCTCCAGAGTGAAGCGAAGTAACTTAATAGTTTTATCTGTTTATTTTATCAGCCTTCCCCTCATTAAGGGAGCCATGTATGGGGCTTGAGATAACATTAACCTGTTCCAGGGTTTCTGGTAAAGGGAATGGGATCCACTGAGGGGGAGGAAGAGTCCTCACAAGGCAGTGAGAATTTGTGGAAAAAAACAGAAACTGCTCAGGGCCTGAGACCAGATTTCCAAGAACTAGCGTGGCGTGGGCGGTGGGTGAAGGCCCAGCTGGAGAAGGCAAGCCACATCCTTATCCCTTCGGCCTGTCCCTGGAGCCTCACCCACCTTCAGCCCAATCCTTCCTGGCCACCTCGAGGGCCTGGGCTTGCCATGCTGCGGCTCCAGCCCCCTGCCACACCACAGCTCCAGGCCTCCCAGCAGCTGGGGAAGCAGGACTGCTGCCTACATTACCTGCTACCCATGCAGGGGTGTCAGGAACGCATGTCTCCCCACAGTGGCTGCCCTTCCATTCCGTAGCTTGGTCTCTCAGGGTGAGATGCCCATATTCAACAGAATCTTGTTTCTGGAAGCCACAATGCGGGGAAAGAATAAAAATACAAATAGCAGAATTGAGGGGAACTTCACAGAATGCTTTCTGTGGGCCTGTTTCTGCAGCACAGTGGAGTATAACTAAGTGTTGCAGAAACAGGCTCTGAGTAGTTGAAAATGATTGCTTGTTTGTGTCTCTGCTCTTGCTCCTGGCAGCTGGCTCTGGCTCTCTGTCTTCTGCTTTCCTATTCTCCTGACTGTGCTACGACAAATTCCAAGTTTTAGTTACAGGCCGGAGGGTTATGTGTGGGGGGCTAGTTGAAGATGAGTATCAGTTGTGCAGGGATATTGCACAGCATGTTGATGTCAGCATGCTGAGTATCACCTGTTGAAAAGTGAATGATGCTGTGCCTTCCAGCACAAGTACATACACTTGATTTCAGAGGGGCTGAGCTTCCATAGTTTCCATTCATCATTTTTTTTTTTTAATTTACAAGCCCGAAATAACTGCCTGCGTTTACCTGCAGCAGGGAAATGGGTGTTCGAAATAAAGCCCTATTTTGAACTACTGTTAAACCTCATTGCAGGAGGAATAACAGGTAGTTCGAACTAGGGCTTTATTTTGAACGCCTGTTTCCCTGCCGCATGTAGACGCAGGCAGTTAGTCCAGGCTTGTAAATTAAAAAAATGGCGCCCGGCTGGGAAGATGCAAATCAAGCACGGGATATTTAAATCCTGGGCTTGATTTGCAATTCTGAATGCCTACATTTGCAGCCCAAGTTCGAATTAGGCTGCAAGTGTAGACATACCTCTACACTGCAGAGGAAAATCAAAGCAACCGCTGTTGATCTTCCAAGGTTCGAAGTAGCGATCTTATTAAGACACCTAATTTGAAGTGAGAGGGGCACTCCAGTTGATGCTGGCAACCCTGCTTTTATTCGACTTCCTGCAGTATAAACTGACAAATTAGTGCACAATTCATTAGGTGGCTAAAATTTGGAATTAAGATTCTATCTTTGGTCACCCAAACTTGAAAAGTTTGGTCTAAGTTTCTGTTCACAGCCTTGTTTTTTGTAATGTACATCAGCATGTCTACAATGTTGAAGTTTTGTTGGTCAGAATGTTAGCAAAAACTGAGCTAGGGTTTAGTAAAGAAACTAAATTATGTTTTGGAATGAAAGAAAACTTGCTTCTGTCAGAATTGGAAATAAATTTAAAAGGTTAGGTCATCAGATCAGAGAACAGAAAGGTATAACCTACAAAACTACCTTAAAAATGGTTTGAAAAACAAATGGCAAGTATGGAATGTTTGAGCGAGTATGAAATATTAGCAGTCCACAAACAATTGATAGCCCATATGTTGAACAAATTTGATACGTAACAAGTCACATAAAAATGGTATTTCTTCATAGATTGCTTACGGATAGAAAAAGGGCAAATTTCATCTAATATGTTCTTACTATTCTAGATAAAAACTAATTTACTCACATGATTGTTAAAATGAATTTCATTTCCAAGAGAAGTCAGCCATTCTGTACTGGAAGTCCTCTATTTTGCAGCACTGGAAGAAACAGTGCAAGCTTGATATCTTCTAGCTTCCTTGGGACACCTGGGATTGAAATACAGACCGCTGAGCTCACCATCTGTCTCTCAAAGCTTGAGCTACAGATCCAAGCTCTGCAAATGGTGCCTATAACAAGCCCCTTTTCTCTGGTTTGGGCACAGATACCTCTCACTGGCAAGTGGGATACATAGATGTTCTTTGCAAGAGTACAGTCAAGGTATTTAACCTGGGGAGTTCACTGTGACAGTCTGCACACCTATTCTCCATTCTACCCCATTTATAGGACTAATAATCTTAAACAACATAGGCCATGGAAGATCTCGTTTGAAAACTCATCATTCGATGGTCATTATTTTTCTGGTAAAATATGCATGGCAACATTTCATGTAAAACTATAATGTTCTATTAAGTCTCAGAGGAATAGCACTGTTAGTCTCTAGGGCTGTGTCTAGACTGCATCCCTTTTCCGTAAAAGGGATGCAAATTAGACACATCGCAATTGCAAATGAAACGGGGATTTAAATCCCCCCCGCTTCATTTGCATAAACATGGCTGCCGCTTTTTTCCGGCTCGGAGCTTAGCCGG